GGGTCCTAATTGTTTTAAGGCACTGGCTACGGTTACATGGAAATGTAATAATAATAAAAATATTATTGTTACATTGGAGACTAAATGCCGGAATGCATGGTTGGGTAAGGACCTGATTAATTACGAATGTAACAATAATTATTGAGGTTACGGTTACATTGCGTTATTGTTACATGAAAAACAGCAATGTACGATGGGACTAGTAATATGTACTAAATAATAAAAGTTAAAGACATTTATTTTATATTTACAATACATACAATTATTACATACAATTTCTTTAATTTTTTATTTACAATGACATTTTCTACATATCCAGTAAGTGGTTTTTGGAGCATGTTTAAGTCCGACACATTTCTGATGAAACCACTCCAAGCAGCCATCACACATCAGTGATGCCGCATTGTGAACGTCCGTATCGCATACCGTGCAGTCCATTCTGCGATATCCCTTTTAGAGCAAAAAGGCAACCTTTAATGTTTGCCATGCTTCTGGTGAGAAATACTTTTTCACTCTAGCAATGTTGATATTCTCATCCAATATTTTGGTTGGAAGCATGTGGTGTAGTTTCATGTCGTCTTTCAATATGATCGCACTGCCGTCCATTACGGATTTTATGTTTACCTCACATTTCAGTATCCAAATTAGCACAGCTAAAAAAACCAATAAATCATAAAAATGCAAATCAATTGTCGAAAGTTCATCAAGTACTAATAATTAGTGCCGTTGAATTATTTTCCATTTTTCAAACTGACAACGCCATGGCTAAAAAGTAAAAAGACAAACAGACAAATAACAGTACACACGACATAACATAGAAAACTAAAGACTAAGCAACACGAACCCCATCAAAACTGAGGGGGGGATATTCACTGTCCCAATTTTTTTTAAAAGTTATTTACTTTCTTCTTTTTCCTTTGGTCGTCTTTTAAGAAACGGCATGACTCTCTTCGTTCTTCTGGGCAATCCAACGACGGTCGTTTCTGCACCTTTCGGTCTTCCTCGGCGTATCATTTTAGGGGGAGCTTATAGGAAGGTTTCTCAGCCCGAGTTCTCAACAACAAACCATTGAACTATATTTTTCGCCTTTGGCACTACTAATCTGAAGAAGTATCTTTAAGAACATCAAAACCAGTAATACGTAAAACTATTTAAACACCATTTGTTGAATAATAATATTTATTATTTATCATTATTACAAGTATTATTTAGTACATATGAAAGAATTAAGCAACAAAACTATAGAAGATTTAAGTTTAATAAATCTAGCTTACATTGCTGTTTTTCATGTAACAATAACGCAATGTAACCGTAGCCTCAATAATTATTGTTACATTCGTAATTAATCAGGTCCTTACCCAACCATGCATTCCGGCATTTAGTCTCCAATGTAACAATAATATTTTTATTATTGTTACATTTCCATGTAACCGTAGCCAGTGCCTTGTTTTAAAGCCCTTTGGTAATCACTTTTAGATTAGTTCACAGTGTCATACCGTGGCCTTTTATAGCTTAAAATATGGTATGAGTTTGCCTACTTTTAAACGTTCAAAAGTGAAATGTTTTTTCGCATTATTTTGCTTGGTCTGATCAATAGTTACCTCTTTTGCAATCATACGAGATTTTCTTATTTTTATATCTGGATAAAAATATATGAAGTGTGAATATAGGTCAATGAAATAAAAAAAGCGGATATATTCCAATAAAGGCATCCTTAAACCAAGTTATATATGGGCATGTATCATAGGATCTGACATATGGTTATTGAACAAAAATATGTGATAGGTGATCAGTGTCAGTGACTTATTGTAGGATACTGCTAGGTGATATCATTATATGTACCTTAAGATCTTAGATTAGAACTAGGACACAGACCTAAAGATAAGATGGTGAATAAAACCTTAAATGCACGTCAGTGTATACTAATCTCGTTTATGTGAAATGCTTCCCAATGTATCCTTGCATCACTACCTGTTGATGCAGACAACGTGTGTTCAACAAAAGCCATGTCATTATTAAACGGGTACGACAGAGGATTCTTTCAGTAACTAATGGGTTTCCCAAACCTATACAGAACCCATGAGGATAATAATATACAAAAACAATGATTTCATTTAATTAATGATCACATTCCGTAAACACGTCACAATGTACAGTTGTGTACTTTATTTTCCTGTAGATAATTTTAAATGTAAACTAACAAAAAGTCAACAAATCAATAGGACAAAAAGCCCAATTTCAAAATTAATATGAGGCAGGTGCTACCTGTGAAAGGGGACGAAGTCGGCAAACCTTTAGAATACTTTTCGATACCCTGTTAACAGCAGATTTATATATATAACCATTTTTTGGTAAAAAAAAATCCCAGCATAATTTCTGGGTAAAAAGTAACTGAATTAAGGAAATGTATCCCATGTTGGTCCTAGTGTTAGAAATTTCATATTATGACGTCATTTTCAGAAAATGCTTTTTTTGTTCGTTTTAAAGTATAGTTTAATTAAAAACATAATAATTTATACCTAAAAACAACAAATATACAAAAACAGCTTATAACCGATCTTTCTACAGATACAAAATTCTGCCTGATTGATCTGATGTGAGTTTCCCCAGAGAACTCATTTTGTTTGTTATAAAGTCGAATGTTGAATAAGCTCAACCTCTGGACTCATTTTATTACGTACACAAACAGAATAAATTCAAAATATTTGTCCTCGTTATTCTTTTTGGTAATCAGTTCTACATATTTGAGTGAAATCGTATGACTTACAACATGGCAGCGTCAGTCAATAGAACAGGAACAGGGTAATGCGTAAGCGCAGCTGTTAGAAAAAAGTTTTTAAAAAAGTTGACAACTTTTGAGTTTATTATTATATTGAAATTTCGTTTAATTGATTTTCTGACTGTTATTTGGGACTTTTTCCCCATACCATTAATTTACAATTATTAAAAAAATACAAGAGAAAGAATTAAAGAAATATTTTTTTCGTTACATTTAATCTGACTGATTCATTTTACAGCTTAGAAAGCTACTCATTAGCATTGTTAGAGGAAGATTTCATTGATTTTTTGGCACCATACCTCCATTTAAATAACAACTTTAGACAAGCCCCATAGACAGATTGATTTCTTATGAATTGTTTTAATATTACTTTATGTTTTTGCTTGCAAAGTTATTTAATATATTTGAATGATAATAATTAAAAGAAAATACAAACAAAAAAATACAAACATTATGTCTTTTGTAAATCACAGAATAAATTATCTCAAAACTAATTAAGCTTTTTACTGTGAAAAATAGAATAAAAAAAATACCGAACTCCAAGGAAAATTCAAAATGGAAAGTCCCTTATCAAATGGCAAAATCAAAAGCTCAAACACATCAAAGGAATGGGAAACAATTGTCGTATTCTCGAGTTGACTTTTTGTCGGGTGAATTGTTGTCTTACTTGAACAAAAATGTCACAAACCTTGCTGTCTATGTAATTAGCATTATAAAGAAGATTTAAACAAATAGGCTACAATATATGCTTGACACTGCCTGAATATGGGAATTAATTTGCATCAAAAAACAGAACGATGGTTTTATTATCACATACACTGATACTTGAAGTTATTTTTGAACACTTTGAAAATTTAATAAATAAAACACTACTTTTATCAATGAACACATGCACATTATTGAAATGGAATAAGAACAGTTTACTTGTACAGGTAAAGTTCTGATGCAGGATATCATTTACAAACCTGAATGGTCAGCAGTTAAATCACTGTATCTCTCCAGAATGTAGCAGATAATTAGATTGACCACCAGCCTATGCTTTATGACCCAATAAACTTCCATTATTCCATGATTTATGACCCCTAATAAATTAGGTGATAATAGAAATAACAGACGGTGGACATTTATCAGAGCATGTCGAAGGCTGTACTGGAGGCTTCTGACCGAAATTTGATCTTGCAGTGTACTGCGAGGGTGACAAAAGGTCAAGGAGCATTTCGATTAACATGTTTAGTTTGATTGCCCATTTTCTTTTTATCTAAAGCAGGGTTCGACATTAATTTTTTATACAAATTTCCCATTGGGCAAGTAGCCATGATATATAATTTGCCCGAAAGAGAACACCACTTGTCTAAATTTTTTCTTGCTTATGAAGTTTTAAACTGCCATAAATAGATATAAAATCAGGTACATGTAAGTATAATGCAAAAAGGAATGAAATGTAGCTGATTACTGAAAGTGTTGAACTTAGCCACTTGAACCACACCACTTCACCAGTGACCTAAGAGCAACCCAAAAAGAAGAATATTTGGTTAACGTCATAACATAATATTTTTGTTTGCAGTTTTCTGTGTTTAATGTTTGTTGTCTAATTTGCCAGGACTAATTTGTCTGTCCTTTAAAGTATTTGAAAATAATCCAATCTATCTGCAATTCCCTCCAAGTCCTTTTTCCAAGATTCATTAAATCTCCTATTCCTCTTTACTTGTTTTTGTTTCATCCTTTTCTGCTTTCCACTTTTCTGGTATTCAGATGAAATTATAAAGTTAGAAAGGAAAAATACTGATACTAAAAATATGTAAATTTGTCGATATTGTCAGGGCTGGTTGATATGATGATTTATATTAATGAGGACTATATTCAGTATTTTTCAACTTTTTATTTTAATAATTTTTACTTGCCAATCGGACAAGTACACTGCAGCTTTTACCTGCACGATGACGACTTTCACTTTTCCCGGGCAATCAGACAGCCATTAATGTCAAACCCTGTAAAGTGTTTTCAGTTTTACTGATCATTATTCTCCATGTATGAAAAAAGTATTTATAAGCAGTAGACTCCAGCAAATCGGATACACAAAATGTCAGCAAAAAATATCCCATTACCCGATATATTCAATTAGACGATAAATGTATATTCATTGAATATTCTGCAAAAACTTAATCCTGAAATGTTACTAGCCCTGACCACTTCATTTTGAAGCCAAATATTAATTCATTCATCATGATATCAAACATTTACTTTATTGGTCTTTTGCTAGGAGGTGCATAACCATTACATAAAACAAAATCAAAAGAACTTCCAACATTGTCTTACAACAAGAACTCTTTCAATCATAGAGTTTAAGTATACAGAACATGACAAGTAAATATTCCAATGAATTTTGTTTTAAATTAATCTATTGTTTAATTGTTTGAAATATAGTTCAAGTATAGCATCCCTATATCACTTCCTTAGTGTTCAACATGTTCAATAGTGAAATGCTTTGGATTACCAAAGTTTTCCAGAATTCCATTCCAATTCACATGTTTTGTACAAACTTCATCTTCGTAATCAGCAATAAAATGCAGTTGAATCAATAATTATAGTAGTAAAGGAAAGACACGTACACAAAAAATTCTGCAAGCAACTTCTTTTGTTTACAGTCTTGTTTTTCACCACAATTCCTTGGAAAAAGCAGCAAGACAATACCAGTTACAACTGCATGCAACACACAGCTTGTTACAAAAGAGAATCTTTTCATGTTTAAAGCCACTGCAATTTATTTTACAGGCAATACACAGCTTTTTACAAGACAATATCTTTTCATGTTCCAAACTCCTGTTATATCTTTTACAGTACTGTAATGTTGATGATGAAATCTAATAATTTTTGTAGAGTGTGGCCTGGTTTAGTATGACTGGAATGAGCTCATGTCTACCACCCTTTACTGATAACTAATCATTTTTGAAGAGTGTGGCCATGCTTAACATCACTGGAATGAGTTCATGTCTACCACGTTTTAATAAAATGTTACACTGTTTACTATATTTAACTGTTCCACCATTTCTTTTAACTGTTGCTGTAGAATCTTTGCTGTCAAAGAAATCATCACCGACTTTCAACGAAGATAACGTGACCTGAAATTATAAAATTCAGACTGATTGTACTTCACTTGTAAGATACCATGCAAACTTCGTTTTATAAGTTATAAATATGCAGTAAAAGTGTGCTATTTCAGTAAAAAAAGTAAGCTAAAACATATGTACAAAACATATAATTAGTTGAAACCATGTTTGGAAATACTACACAATAGAGTTGTAACAATAAAATAGAGACAAAACTAGAGGCTCAAAAAAGCCTGTGTCCCATGACTAAGTCTATGTGCATCTTCATTAATGGACAATCTTTCTTCACATTTTAGACTAGGATATTATTAAAGACTAAAAGTGTTAAAATTGTCATTTAAAGGCATTAACTTCTATAAGAAGACAACTGACAATTTCATCTACATGTAATAAAGCTGACCTTTTGGCAGATCTTGTCTTACTGATTATTTTTGCTTTTTTTAGTTTCTATCTATCTATTATAGTTATCAATATAATGGGCAAAATGAAAATAAAATGCTAAAAAAAATCTTCTTTTGAGGGCCATAACTCCTATAGGGACTCAACTGACGATTTCCACATTTGCCATAGTTGTACATCTTGTCTTACTGATCATTTTTGCTTCTTAAATTTCTATGTCTCTATTATAGTTTTCGAGATAATAGTCAAAAACGCCAAAAAATGGTATACATGGTCATTAAAGGGCAATTACTCCAATAAGGTTTTCAGCCATGTTGACTTAACTGAAGATCTTGTCTTGTTGATCATTTTTGCTACATAAAATTTATGTTCATCAATTATTATTTTCAAGATAAGCAAAAATGAAAAAAATGGTAAAATTTGTAATTTAAGGGCAACAACTCTTATAGGAAGTTGTCTGACAGTTTTGATGTTGAAACACAGAAGGTAAACCATATCATTCTGAAAATGTTAGCCCTATCAGATTTTCTCTATCTATAGTGGTTTTCAAGTTATAGACAAAACTTGCATTTCACCCCTATGTTCTGTATAATTAGCCATGTCAGTCATGTTGTTTTGCAGGCAAGGTCTTCAGACAATTTTTTTGAACTAGAAACCCAATGCTGATTGAAGCCAAGTTTGGTTAAATTTGGCCCTGTAGTTTCAGAAGAGATGATCTTTGTAAAATTTAAAGGACGATGACAAATGACAGACGATGGACACCAAGTGGTGGCAAAAGCTTTGGGCCAGGTGAGCTGAAAAAAACATCTAAAAGACAAAATTCTACTTCATATTTATGTGTAGGAAAAAAATAAAGCAACTTTAAAACAAATTGAAGTTGTTTGATTAAAAAATAAATACAGAATTTGTACATCAGGACTTTATCTAATAGAGTGAGAGATTGGAGTGGGGGATATCATGGAGATGTCACTTTTTCCCCTGTCCTCTCTCTTGGTGAACCCATTACCTTTGTTCCTTGAACAATAAAACCAAACACTCCATTGTTTCCCAATGCTGATGATGACTGTGTCATTGCCAACATTTCTCCCATGTGTTGACCTTTGACATTACTATCAATATGATCAGCAACTGGTTCTAAATTTATTGATGCTTGTCTCAAATTAAAGGTTGTGTCCTTCTTTTTTCCTTTACAGTATTCTTTTACCTTGATAAAAAAAAAATATTTGAGGTTTACTTCATTAATGAAAACTTTATGGGATAAAATCAAATATTAACACCATGACCTAAAATAGTATATTAGATTGACTGATTGCTGGTGTTTAACACCACTTTCAGCACACTTGACTATATTATCATGGCAGTCAGTTCTTATTGGTGGAGAAAGCCTTAATATCTGGGGAGAAACAACAATGTTTTTTTTTTATTTTCTTACATTGTCTCAAGCATTAAAAAAAAATTGTGCATTCAGAGTCCAATTTAAGTATGAAACAAACACTGCAGCTCACAAGGATTTTGCATTTTCTACCTGCCCACCGTGGGAAGCCCAAACATATCCACTCAAATTTAACAAGAAAGCAAAGATAAATGTCTTTGACATCTAGCAAAGAATTTAACTAAAACAAGTGCTAGGGGCCATCTAGAAATTACAGAGAGTTAAAACTTTTTGCTAAATGATTCCTGACTGACCCAATGAAATAAAAAGTCGCAATAAACTATTAAAAGTGTAGTTCCTTTGAGTTTTTTTCCCTGTGTGTAATGATTTTGTTATGATTTGACACACCATATCCTTTCTATTTCCTTTGAATACTTACTTTGGCAACAACAAATGCAGATGATTCTAATCTGGCAGCATCACAAGACTCAGACTCTGTAAACTTATATATTATTGCATCAGGTTCTGAAATAAACTCTCTCTCTCCTATGGTAAAATAGTGTTCCGTTTTTGTAGTATCACTGAAAAGAAAGGTATTTTACTTTAAACAAAATTGGTAGAGGATAGTCTTTTTTTCTCATAAAATGTCACCCTACATGTATAAACAAGAAGGGCATAATACATTATTATCTTTTCACATAATACACAGATAATGCAGGTTTGCACGATGAGACTTTATGAAACTTGTTTCCAGTGATATTTTTGATTTTTTTAATTTTCTTTAGCAACATTATCAACCAGTTGTAAATACTCCCTGTAGTAGCAAGTACATTTCCAAATTATGTGTCATTCTTTTTAATACCTTGTTAAAGATAGAGGTCATCTTGTTGGTAGCTCACTATCAGTTTTTAAGAAAGCAGTGTTTACGAATCAGAAAATTAATTTCAAAATGCCTCATACAATGCTGTTTATGGCATTGAAGCATTATTTTTTTGATTTTCAGTTATAGCTCAAGGAGCCAAAGTTTTAAGCAAAAATTTTACTAAAATTTATGACAATGTATCTATACAATATTTCATTAATTTTATTTACATGTACATGAAAAGTACATTTTATGTAAGTACTTACTAAATCTTTAAATGAAAAATTCTGACAAAAGCTGTAAATAAATCTAAAAACATCTTTTCTGACACTGGATTATCATTATGGCTGTGGTTCATCATAAAGAGCAACTGGTCATAAAATAATTTCAGTCCATAAAAAATGCTGAAAAAGACAATATATATTAACTTGCACGGTTGCTGACGTGTGCATATGACATAACTAACATCTGGAAATATCAAATACAAATTTTTCAAATTGTTTCTCTGTGTTTGGTTGAGAGTTTTTTTTTATGAATGATTTATATAAACAGGATTTTCAGATCAACATATGCATACTGTTATAAATGGGAATTGTTATCTACATATATATATATATATACATTAAGATATTATAAAATGCCTAGAAAATCAACCTAAGTCTTTTATAGCCGACTATACGGTATGGGTTTTTCTCATGTTGACATGGTTGAAGGTGGTACGGTTGCCTATTATTGCTTACATCCACTTCATTTGAACTTTGGTGGATAGTTGTCTCAATGGCAATTATATCACATCTCCTTATTTTTGTACTAAAATGTTAGAGCAGATCTGATTGTTTACTTCCTCCCCGACGGGGGACGGAACCTGTACTTTTTACTTCTCGTTTCTTCAGCAACACTGCCTAGCATTGTGCAGATGCATTATCCTCGCCTCTAACTATATATATATATTTATATATCATGTATATTGTATACCAACATTTATGTGATTTTTCATATGTAGTGAAGAGGCCTCAGTATTGAATAAATTTGTATACAAAAAAAGAAAGAGCATATACAAGGTACACTTGAAATACAAGCATGACAAGGGGCAATTAGGGGGCAAATTAATGCAAACTCTCAGATATATTAACAATGGTTAACATGGTTTAGATCCATAACATATTATATATATATACAAGTCTAAATTGAAAACAACGTTCAAACCTTTGATTGCCTTGGATAAAAACCGAAATTTTTATACGTGTGCATGCAAAACAAATTTCTTGGTCGAGGGGTCTGAATACAGCACAAACAACATTTTCCAAAAGACCAAAAAAGGTGAAAAAGTATATTTTAACAAAACGCATTTGACTAGCAGGTCGAACAACGGAAGTTCTTAAACCCTGCTGACTGCCATTGGCGATTGCCAAATAAATGGATCACCAGATGTACGTAACAAAATGGATCTTAACTATTAATTTAATACCAAACAGAAAACAATAAACTAGCTGAAAAGATGGTATACCACAAACAAAAGGTGCAAAAATTAGTACACCATATCCGGATTTCGACAATTAATGTCTCTTCAGTGATGTTAGGAATCGAAACGGTATTTGGGAGACCATATGATTTACCTCAATTCAGGATAGACTCTTGAATTTTGAAGAGTCGAAATAGGATGAACGGATCATATATATATTTACAAAAACAAAAAGTGAGAATAGTAGAAAAATTATAGGAAAACTGAGATAAAATAATCTGTTATCTTGCACATGCATATATATATACATGTACCCATGAAATTAAGACAGTAATTCCCTGTCATACACTTACAGATGACATGTTTCCAGTACAATAACCTTTTTCTCTTCACTTTTTCTATTAAACCATTCACATAAATATAATGATGACCTCTCAAATTGTCTATCAAGTTCTTGAACCATTTTCAACGCATGGCCAACATTAATTTGATTGATATATTCACAATCTAAGTCATCCCAACAATTCAGAACAAACTCAAAGCATTCCATCCTCAATTTGAAAGCATGGTCAATTGTTTCAAGTGTATTTTCAACTTTTTGCTTTTGTTGCTTATTAATGTTGCTTGTGTTTATCTCATCTTGACCAATAATGTCAACAATGAATGTTGGTGCCACGGTTGGGACAAGATCTTTGACAAGGTTGGGGAATTGTTCCAAAATACAATTACAGAATTTTGAATCCTGTTTTATTGTTATATATTCTTTGATGAAGTGAGAATACGGATCTGAATATTCTCTATAAGTGATTTGCAGACGATTACAGATTAGTTCTGCATTCCAATCGTTTGTTTTTGACGGAATATCACCATCACTAACTACACTGGTGTTACTATTTGATGTTGAGGACAGTAATTCAGACTCTTCATTCGATGCAGAACGCTTCCTTTTACCAAGAACAGACTTTTTTTGTGTTTCTTTCGAGAAGACAGATGAGCTAGAAGATGGATCGTCACTGTTTTGAGACATTTTTATGTTTATTTTTAGGAAAAATAAAAGCTGGGGGAAAGAAACTTATGTAATTGAGTTAAGTAGGATTAACTAAATCCGTCCCTAACAATCTCGTCCCACGGTCACAGAATCTTCGTTATTGTGTAGACGTGCATTCAGTTTCATTCATATTATCTGGGACTATTATAATAGTCCCAGATATTAGGAAAAGAAGGATATTTTGTTTTTACACGACCTTCTATCAGCTTGTGACATCTCCATCATTATTTTTAAACTATTGGTCTAAATTATCTGTAAGGCTTCATTTATAGATTGGTCCCTAAAAATCACCATAGGGCCATTTATGTGCTGGTCAATGAGGTCATTTCTGTTTATTTAAGGGTACTCAATTGAATATCTTCTTTCAATTTGCTTCTGTATCTGTATCGTTACGTAGAAGGTAAAATTCTGCATTTAACTCGAGGCACTGGCTACGAATACGTTGAAACGTAACAATTATAACAAACAAGTTATTGTTACGTTGGACACTCATTGCCGGAATGCTAGGCCAACGGTTGGGTTAGGAACCAATTAATTACGTACGTAACAATAATCATTTGTGTCTACAGTTACGTTGAGTTATAGGATTTATTTAACTTTTAACCGTCTTTAAATTTAGTTTTGTTGCTGAATTATTATTATTATTATTGATTATAATATTAAGCATAATGCGAAGAATATAGTTCAACGGTTCGACTTTTAGAAGAAAAGTGTTCACTTCTATGTATTTAACTGCACACTTACCCTTATTATACTGTCATAATACTTTGAACAATGAACAACATCATATATGTTTCCAACAAAAGTTTTGAACATTTTAGTATAATAGTAATATATTTTAGTAGGATAAACAAACTTAATTCACATAGTTTTTTCACTGACCCCAACCCCCTCTTAACTTAATTTGGGAAAAATCAAGTTGATTGACCAATACAGATATATGTAAAATCGATGTCAAATAAACAAAACTTGCAGCACTTTTTACCCCACCCCCAAATATTTGAATTAAGTTTTTTTTTACATTGATCTTTTGATGTCGTCCCTAAATCAAAGCTCATTTCTACGATTCATAGTTTGTCTTTGATAAATAAATCGCCTTTAAAAAAAGCATTTTACATTGTTCATGAACAATAGATTATAAAAACTTTGGAACAATTTTTCTTGTTTGAGATTTTTTTTCCACACAGCAAGAAAGAACGAAAACTTACGCCGGAAGATGGACAGACGGACGCCGGACATTTGTATACCATAATACGTCCCGTCAAAATTTTGACGGGCGTATAAAAAGAAGATGTGGTATGATTGCCAATGAGACAACTCTCCACAAGAGATGACACAGAAAATCAAACAGCTATAGGTCACCGTAAGGCCTTCAACAATGAGCAAAGCCCATACTGCATAGTCAGCTATGAAAGGTCCCGAAATGACAAATGTTAAAACAATTCAAACGAGAAAACTAAAGGCCTAATTTATGTACAAAAAAAAATTGAACGAAAAACAAATATGTAACACACCAACAAGCGACAACCATTGAATTACAGGCTCCTGACTTTGGACAGGCATATACATACAGAATGTGGCTGGGTTAAACATGTTAACGAGATCCCAACCCTACCCTAACCTGGAACAGTGGTGTAACAGAACAACATAAGAACGAACTATAAAAATCAGTTGAAAAAGGTTTAGCTCATCAGATGGATACAAATAAAAATACATCTAACAAAAGCACAGGGTGGAAGTGGCCGTACTTGTATATTCCAACAACATAAGGAAACTAAGTACAGATCTTAGAGTACTCGCAGTTACTGACAGGAAGTTAAAAGCCACTAACAACCTATTAAAACAAGAGTGCACACGCTGAAATGTCTCGCCTTCTTTACTAATCATTGATATTATGTTGATAGTCCTAAATATAAAGCTTTATTACAACTGTCACATAAACTTAACATTAACCAAGAAAACTAAAAATTGACTAATGAACCATTAAAATGAGGTCAAGGTCAGATGAACCATGACAGGCAGACATGTACAGCTAACAATTCTTCCATACAACAGATATATTGCTTATAGTTTAAGAAAAACAGACCAAAACACAAAAACTTAACACTGAGCAATGAACCATGAAAATGAGGTCAAGGTCAAACTAAATCTGAGCGACTGACATATAGATCATAAAATATTTCCATACACCAAATATAGTTGACTTATTGCATATAGTATTAGATAAAAAGACCAAAATTCAAAAACTTAACTTTGACCACTGAACCATGAAAATGAGGTCAAGGTCAGATGACACCTACAAGCTAGACATGTACACCTTACAATCATTCCATACACCAAATATAGTAGACTTATTGCATATATACTGTAAATGAAAAACAGACAAAAACACAAAAACTTAACTATAACCACTGAACCATGAAAATGAGGTCAAGGTTAGATGACACCTGCCATTTGGACATGTACACCTTACAGTCCTTCCATACACCAAATATAATAGACCTATTGCTTATAGTGTCTAAGATATGGACTTGACCACCAAAACTTAACCTTGTTCACTGATCCATGAAATAAGGTCGTCAAGTGAAAACTGTCTGACGGGCATGAGGACCTTGCAACGTACGTACATACCAAATATAGTTATCCTATTACTTATAATAAGAGAGAATTTAACATTACAAAAAATCTTAACTTTTTTTTCAAGTAGTCACTGAACCATGAAAATGAGGTCAAGGACATTGGACATGTGACTGACAGAAACTTCGTAACACGAGGCATCTATATACTAAGTATGAAGCATCCAGGTCTTCCACCTTCTAAAATATAAAGCTTTTAAAAAGTTAGCTAACGCCGCCGTCGCCGCCATCGCCGGATCACTATCCCTATGTCGAGCTTTCTGCGACAAAAGTTGCAGGCTCGACAAAAATCATGCATCTAAGACTAAATTATCAATCAGTACACATCCAACAGCCAATGGATTTAGTGTAAAATGTCATAAACAGTCAGAGAAAAACAAGACCTAGTGCAGTGCAGGTATCGACAGATTGAAAATCCATGACTGTGTATATGTATATAACAATAATATTTAGTTTGCTTTTAATTTACTGAGAACAAAATCAATATTAATACCAATTAAAACAATATTCAATGATCTAATTACAGTGTTGAATTGGTAACCTTTTAGAATAAGTTTATATAAAGGATCGACTAGTACTTAGAAGCAAACGATTATCTCTTTATGACTGAGGAAGAAAAGTGGAGGGCAGTGCCAAATAATCTCTATGGAACGAGATTTGGTAATGTTAATTCAATTGCATACCAAATTTCACTTAACTGAAAATAATTTATTATTGACTTACCGTTAGTGGTAGTCCCTTTAAAGTTTTTCAATGACTTAATCTTGGGGAAGATTTATGCTAAAAGTCATCAATGAAAATGAGGTCAAATACAAATGACTTATACCAGATGGACACCCCAGAGCACTGAACAAATAAACAAGAACCTGAATCGTTCACCTGGTAAAAATGTTTCATTATAATTGATAGATCGTGGTAACTAAACGTTAAGTGGCATATATTTCATGCATGTTCAAGACCAGTTAATTTTTAGATTTATTTTAAATCTATTGGGATCCGTTATGTTGGCTTTTTTTAACTTCTTATTTTGCAGCATTTTAGTAGATTTCCTATTAGTGATAGTGAATTCTGTTTCTACCTATGTTTTAACGTTTTTTTTTTTTATTGTTTTCAAGATAGTTGATAAAATCATACTTCCTAAAAGGAACCTGACGATTTCAACCATATCGTCTTTCTTGTAGATTTCACTATGCTGAATATTTTTGCTCTATAAAGTTTCTCTCTATCTACTTTATATTTTTTTCAAATGCTCCAAAATGTGTTAAAATTGCAATATAAATATGTAAATAGTTTGTTGACAATTTAGGCCAGTCAGTCTTATTTGAAGATCTTACTGTGCTGAAAACTCTCTCATTCTATTTTGGTTTCCACATGAATACAAAAATTGGTTAAAATCTTCTTACGAGAGCAAAAACCTCTCTACAGGGTCAATTAATGATTTCGGTCATGTTGACTTATTTATACACCATATTAAAGTAAACAAATGTTATTGTAGACAGAACTTGTCCTGCTTATCCTTTTCAGCAAGTCAGATATGCTGAAACTGTACCTTTCTTGGTCCCATACTGTGCATGCATATTCAACTGAAGGTCTTACTATTGTTGAATATGCTGCTGCTTTAACTGGTTTAGTGCAACCTTTTAGTTTCATTTTCTTCGTATGAAGCCTAGTGTTTGGTTGCCTTTACCCACTATCTTGTCAATATATCTGTCCAAGGTTAGTCTCAACCTTTATATATGTTATGTATTATCACCCAAATACAACATATATTTGAATATTAAGAATGAACACGAATGTGGCCACTTCCATGTTAGCAAAAAACGTCTTAAAATTAGCACAAATGGTCAAATTGTGAAGATTTCAGTAATATTGCATGAATTTATGATGCTTTTACCTAATGCATGAGCATTGTTTTGTAAAAAATTCGTAAGGGTTCCGCGGAACCCAGTGTCTCGCCTACTTTTGCTGTTAATCGAAGGCTCAACAAAAATGAGGAAAAAAATTAATAAAAATATTCCTCTCTATACTATCTTTTGATTGTAAGTAGCTTCTGTCCAAGTTTGGTAAAAATCCAGGATAGTTTATGAATCTAATAAATGTTTTAAAAACTTAAACTGCAGACTGCATGTAATGTTAACTGGAAGAAAAACTAAGTCCATTTATAAGTAAAATACGGAAAAATGGAACAAAATTTTAACAAAATTTCCATGTAGATACTAGCTTTTAATCATAAACAAGCTTCTTTCCAAGTTTGGTAGAAATCCAGGATAGTTTGAGAAAGTTATTAAAATTTCAAAAACTTTAACCACAGAGTGAATGTAATGTTAACTGGCAGAAAAACTAAGTTCATTTATAAGTAA